CCTGCTTAATCAATCCCTAGAGCCTGAGTTTTAAAGAGCACCTTAGATATGACAATTTTAAACAGAGAATCTCTGTGTTGACAACCTGATACCCAAAAGACAATCTGAAATGAGAATGCACTAAAATTTCTACAGAAAAGGCATGTTTGAGTAAATGAGTTAGAATAGTGACATACAGGTGGATTATGTGGATTGTGTTTGTGGCGCTAAGTTGGATGAGCTGCTGGCTCCTGCACCTCACCTCAGAAAAGTGTTACTAGATAAAGAAAAATGCGATCCCCACTCTTTAAAGTATTTGATGTGGAGTATTAACCCCCAGCATTGAAAGGATGGCCCTTTTTTGTGATTCAGCCAGCATGAGTTTAAATACTCCTGTAGAGGTGTATAATAGTGAAAACTGTAGTTTTATAGATCATTATTTGGTATAAAAGAGCCCTTGTGTGTCACTGGGCTGAGCTGGATGTTATAAAAGACTCGGTAATTCCAAATCTTTGAACTATTTGCAATGGTTCTGTAGTAACTTTTTAAAAAAAATTTATCTTCTATGCACCTCTGCCTGTGTAGGACCTGCAAAGGATGAGTTGCAGGCTGAGAGGATTGAAGAATTAGGTCTAAAATTTAGATTTTACTTTATTTTCACATTTGTTGTTTTTTAAGGGAGGTAGAATCACCTGGGAGAACCCAAAGTGTGCTGGAACAAGCTAAATATTTAGTTATGTGAAAATGCAAACTATTACAAAAAAGGAGTAAAACTCACCTTTATTCTATTTGACATAATTTATTTGTTCGTTCTGTTAATGTACTAGATATATAAAGAACAACTTAACACCAGGATAGTATTGGTTGCCATGGAAACCTGGGCTACTGATAACAAGTTCACCATATCTGAAAACCCTTTGGTGACCCTGCGTGAGTTTATGAAATATAGGAGGGATTTTATCAGAGAGAAAAGTGACGCAGTTCACCTTTTTTCGTACGTAACCTTGTGTGATGTTTTATTGCTGGGTTTTTTTCTTTCCTTGGGGGTTGCTTATCACAAGTGGCTGATGCATCTCCTTTCTGTTGTGAGTGTAATCCACAATAATTCAGAAAATAATCTTTCTGATGGGGAGGTGGGAGAAAGTTAATGCACAAGCTGCCTGCTGGTGCAACTAGAGGTTTGACTCTCATTTTAGTTTTAATGTACTAAGCCTGAGCTGCATGCACTGTAATCCTTGGTTATTCTGTGCAGTTACCTGTTCCGCAAGCGCAGCTGCCTGGAGGGTGATGCATGGTTCCACCTCGGAGGTTAGCTTCTTCAGCAGTAGAGCACAGACAGCCCTGCTGTATTATTTAAAAGCGGATCATTGGTTTTGAAACCAATGAGGTTTCCTGCTTAAAAAGCGCTATGGGCTGCTTTACTTTGTGAATGACCCTGCATGCTGCAGGATTACTGAAGTGTTTCAGATCCTCAAAACAGTTTGTTCTCCAGAGAGACATGTGATGTAAGAAGAATAAGCTGAGAGGAATGTTATTTTCTCTAAATCTCTAAATTATTTTGGAAAGATTGATATAACAAAATGTATCTGCAAAAAATAGAGGAGAGGGTTATGGCTGAGATTTTTGATCCACACGAGACAGGCCAGATGAATTGCTTTCTTGGAGTCATTATCCCTCTTTGCTGACTGTTGCAGGAGCCTGTTATGAATAAACTTAACCTAAACACTTCACTTTCACATGACTCTGATAGGGTGCCAGGATACCCAACCCCAGTATTCAGCCTCTCAGAATTTTCACACATGCTGATTTATTGTTGTTAGCTTTTGCCATGAAGAGAACCAGTAAGATCTGCAAGTGGTGTTTGCAGATATTGGTTTCTTTGTGTCTCAGTTCTTCATCTGTAAAATGGGAATCGGGTTTTCTCACATCCTTCATGTATCATCTCTGGTGATATTATAAGGTCTTTGGAGGAAGTCTTGTTCTCATAAATGTTTGTGGCTTGGCTAGGACAAAAGAGGGCCTTATTTGTCTTGTGACTGGGACTCTAGATACCTGTGCAATGCTAATTCCAGTGCTGTCCATAACACCACCACTGATGTTTGATGTATTGCGTTCATAGACCATTTAGAAACACCAGTTTCTGGAATTGTGAGACAAGGCTAAGTTGGGAGGTGAGGTTGGCTGGTGTGATGGTGTACCAGTCACAGAGGAACTGCCACCTTCAGCATGGTTAGCCCATTGTATTGTTTCTTGGTGTTTGTCTTGTTTTCCTTTGAAAAAAACAATTTGCTGAAGCTTGGATGGATCAGTACTCTGAAGTGGAGCAGAGTATATTTTGTCTCCAGTAACTGTCAGTCATTCATGCTGATGTAGTCAGCACCGAAGAGATGATTAGGTTTCAGCTCAGAGTGCGTCTGTCCCTTGGATGAGATTGACTGCAGTTCCAGGAAGTTTTCACCTACCTCTGCATCAGGGAGCCACTGACGCATCTCCCTTTAAGTTTTGCCACATCAGCATTGCCCAGCTAGACACGTCTTTTTACTAGTCACCCATGCATTGGCAGCATGGTGGCCTCTCCTGTACTCTGTCTGTACCACATGTCAGTAGAATTCACTTCCTGCAGTAGTATTTCAACGAACAAAAGGCTTCTGAGATTCAGGTGGTCTGGCAAAATAGCCCCCTTCTTATGCTTTCTTAAGTTAGGTAGTCTGAGAAGGAGGAGGGAAGGTGGTGTAACTTCTCTGGAGATGGTTTGTCATGTGAGGTTTGTGAGTGGTTATCTGTTTTTCTCATTTTGATTTTGCATAGTAGCATAGTGGTGGCAACCAGCATTTGCAAATGACAGTTTCTCATTTGGAAGTCAGAACAGTAAATACTAGAATGGGTAGGTAGAAAACTCATGGGCTGAGCAGGGTAAACTTTCTTTTCTTTTCCTTTTTTGTCAAAGGGGGAGTCGATTTCAGAGCAGTCGGAGTGGTGTAGCCCACACTGGTGGAATCTGCTCCTTGCTTAAAGGCGGAGGTGTGAATGAGGTAGGTGGGGATACTGGTATGAGCAAAAAGTGTTGGAAATTTATCTGCACAGAAGCTATTCACTACAGATATGTTCCTCAAGATATCTTTCTGCTTCTTTCCTGGTGCAGAGTTTTAGTGCAGCTCTATAGAAGGGATGTCTCAATGAGGAGTGATGAGTGAATAAAGTCAGATATGAAATCAAATACACTTTTCAGCAGATTCCTCAATATCCCGTCATTCATACTTGCAACCACAATGGCGAGAAGGAAACAGACTTTCTCTTACTTAGCTTGTCCATACATTTAGTTTAGTTTAGTTTTCCTCACTTGTCCGTTATCTAGCTGCTCTGAAATAAGATCTCCAATGCTGTGCATCTGATTTTGCCTTTTATTGCCTTGAAATTAGAAAAGCTTCACTTGTACCGGAAATACCTGTCCGTAACTGATTATTCTTCTGACCTTGCCTGTTTCTTTCAGTTTGGAAAGCCAGACTTAATGGCAGTTACCCTGGCACAGACCTTGGCCCAAAACATTGGCATTTTCTCAGACAGAAGAAAACTTATAAGTGGTAAGGTTGTTTGCTTTTTCACTCTGTCTCGAGAGAAAATCTTGAAAGGTGGAGGATCTTATCAGTGTCTCTCTGATATGTATTTTTTCCCCATGTTTCTAACAATGTTGGAATATTTTTATTTTTCTTGTAATAACATGAGGATAAGCTGACATATCATTAATTTTTCTCCATTGAAATGATGTGATGTCCTCCTGTCCATAATTGCTGGCAGCACTGTTGTCACCATTTCATTAAAAAAAGATCATAAAGGTGTCTGCCACTTCTGTTCATTTCAGGGAGATCGATGTCACACTCACCGACTGAATGGCTGCCGTTTTACAGTGCAGAGGTGGAAACATAGGTTATTAGGCCTGGGCATGATGAGAAGCCACCTCAATCCTGTTACGCAGGACCATTTTGGCAACATAGCTTTTTCCCTGTTTGCCTTGATTGAATTCCTCTTGTAGATTACCCAAATCTCCTGTATTTGCCACCATACTGCTACCGTTTATCTGCTGTAACCTTGGTATTCAACTTCTTAGTATCCCCTATTTACCTGCAATGCCTTAATTGAGATCTCTGGCTCACAACAAGCACCTCACCCTCCCTGCTTCCATGTTACATGAAGTCCCAGCACATGGAGGACAATGGATGATTAAAATAATAATACAGTTTTGAATCAATTTAGATGATAAATTGGAGTGCTTAGTTATTGGATCATGTGTACTTATGTGGCTTACATATAAATAAGTTACTACATTGAGTACTAAAACTCTGCTTGGGTGAACTTGTTTTCAGGCATTTCAGACAGTATATAATGCAGAGATACATCGGCATGTAAAGGTTTTTACAGTTTACGTAATTTTATTTTGAAAAATATTCAGAAATGTAGGATGGATGCTCTGTGCTATTGACATGTTCAGTATTCATTTTCCAGCTGCATATTATTAACCTGATACTCAAGCGGGGTAAAAGTGAAAGCAATAATGGTGGTGGTTTCCTTTCTTTCAGCTGAGCAGAGGGGCAGGACACGGTTTTGGGGGGGAGGGAGGAGAATGCAACTGTTGGGCAGAACCTTGTTTCCTTTTTAATTGTACTTTTAAAATGGAAGCAGTAAGTTGATGTTCATGTATTACAGTAAGGCAAATTGCAGAAAGAGAAAGGTGAAAGTATATCATAGAATCATAGAATCATTAAGGTTAGGAAAGACCTCAAGGATTATCAAGTCCAACCCAACACCACCTAACTCACTAAACCATGTCCCTAAGCACCACATCTACACGTTTCTTGGACACCTCCAGGGATGGTGACTCCACCACTTCCCTGGGCAGCCTGTTCCAATGCCTGATCACTCTTTCAGTGAAGAAATTTTTCCTAATATCTGGCCTAAACCTTCCCTGGCGCAACTTGAGGCCATTTCCTCTTGTCCTATCACTTGTTACTTTAGAGAAGAGGCCAGCACCCACATCACTACAACCTCCTTTTAGGTAGCTGTAGAGAGTGATAAGGTCTCCTCTCAGCCTTCTCTTCTCCAGACTAAACAACCCCAGCTCCCTCCGCCGCTCCTCATAAGACCTGTGCTCCAGACCCTTCACCAGCTTTGTTGCCCTTCTCTGGACCTGCTCCAGCACCTCGATGTCCTCCTTGTGGTGAGGGGCCCAATATGTGCAAAGCATAGGTACAGAAAGAGACAAAGGTCACAGTTTTGAAAGTGGAGGGCTGAGACCAGAACAAAGTGATCCCAGGCAGCCTGGCAGGGCTGAAGAGAGGCAGGCAGGGAGGGGAGGGAGAGCAGAGGAAAAAGCTGTTAGATCCTGCTATACTGGCTTGTGTTTACAGACCATTTTATGCATTTTTGTGTGCATTATTGTTTAGGTTTCTTTTCAAACAAAGATTTCCCTAGTCACATTAGCATAGTAGTAGAAGAGAACTAAAAAATCAGAAGAAGGGTTAAAATTGTTTATTTTTTTTTACTCTGAAAATTTGGAAATCAAATATCATGACATGGGAGAAGGCAGGAGAGCTGACTCATGATTTGCAAAGTGCTAGAGGCTGATACTGCGGTTTCCCCTAACTTCATTTTAAGGGAGAGAAAAAAAATCAAAACATATTTTCAAAGCTCAGAATTGCATAGAGTCATGTATAGTTTTTGAAATAAGGTTTGCCAGCGTGCATTGATACACTTAAACTAAGGTGTGCAATGAACCAGCAAATTCAGGCTTCCCATGTCTGTCAGGACCCTGAACCTCTAGGTGAGCAGAACAGCAGAACAAGTCTGAGACCACCTCATGTCACTGAATGTATATAAGTCTATGGGGCCAGATGATATACATCCCAGGGTTCTGAAAGGGCCAGCTGATGTGGTTGCCAAGCCACTCTACATCGTATTTGAAAAATCATGGCTGTCTGGCGAAGTCCCCGGTAACTGGAAAAAGGGAAACATTACTCCTATTTTTAAGAAAGGGAGAAAAGAAGACCCAGGGTACTACAGGCCGGTGAGCCTCACCTCTGTGCCTGGGAAGATCATGGAGCAGATCCTCCTCAAAGCCATGTTCAGGCACGCATTAGACCAAGATGTGATCCGGGACAGCCAACATGGCTTCACCAAAGGCAGATCTTGCCTGACCAATCTGGTGGCCTTCTATGATGGAGTGACAGCATCAGTGGACAAAGGAAGGGTGACAGATGTAATTTACCTGGACTTGTGCCAAGCCTTTGACATGGTCCCTCACCACATCCTTCTCTCTAAATTTGAGAGGTATGGATTTGAACGATGGACTGTTCAATGGATAAAGAACTGGTTGGCTGGTCACAGCCAAAGGGTTGTGGTCAACAGCTCTGTGTTTGGATGGGGCTCTGGGCAGGCTGCTCTAGTGGTTGGCAACCCTGCCCACAGCAGGGGGGTTGAAACTAGATGATCTTTAAGGTCCTTTTTAACCCAGGCCATTCTATGATTCTGTGATTCTATGATTATTCTTTTTAATTTGTATTTAAATATGAAATGGAATTGACTACAGTGTGGTTTTTGTGGTAAGAAATGCATTATTTTGGACTCACAGGACTCAAGATGTAAATTGTTTTTGTTGTTTTTCTTGTCAGGTGAGTGTAAGTGTGAAGATACGTGGTCTGGATGCATAATGGGAGACACGGGGTAAGACATTTCACTAGAGGAAAGTCATGTCCTTTATGCAGTGACGTAAAGGAAAGGTGTGAAAATGTGTGCCTTTTGTGGTTCTGCAGAATATTTTCTGTGATTTGTTTTTCAGAAAGTAAGGTATTAGCTGTATAATATACATAGAAAAGACACTTTCAAAGAAATGTGTGAATAAGTGAGTTAGTGAGACGATATGTGAGGATTTTTAGTGACCACTGGTTTAACTCACAAAGCGCAGGGCTCAACAGCCAAGACAGGTCATTGCAGAGAAGCAGAAGCATGCTTAGCTTCTTTTCTCCTGTGAGTTTGCTGTTGAATTGTGGGAATAATGACACATCCTAATTCTTGAAATACTATTCTCAAATTGCTTAAATACGTCTCATTTTCAGTGTTTCTGTTGGAATCTTTCATCTATAGCTATCATTTGTATTGTCCAGTTTGTGTGACAATGTTAGAAAAACTGCTTCCGTTGGAAGTTGAGTATACTTACACCTACGTATAATGTCACCAGGGAGATTTTATCTAAACACCAGTGAATCAGCAAATTTTTGCTGCTAGATGAAAATTGATGCTTTCTAATGTGTATATTGAGACCTTAATTCTTCATATTACAGGCCCGTCTTTTGTCGTGTATATGAATTAAGCTATAATCTGGTTTTAGATACAGACAGTGCATTTTAAATTAATTGCAAACTGACCTGCAAATTTTCATGATAGCTTGTGGTCAGAAGAATTTTGAACAAAGAAACATATTTCATTGAAGGCGATTCAGAAGAGTGAATGTGTGCCTTTTCACCTTGTCTACCTAAAAGCATACTGGATAGGATTTTTCTGATTTTTTTGTATGTTAAAAAGCCAATCTGAGAAGCATTCTTGTTTTTTGCAAAAGAGATTCTGTATCTAATGGTCTGTAATTCTTTATCTGAAATAGAAAGCTTTCAGATAATTAGGTACACAAAAAAAGCTTGTGTTTACATAGCTTATTGATGAAGGATGATGAATCCGATATTCTCTGTAGTCTTTAGACCTAAATCATAAACACTAGAGATGGAAAAGACCAATATGACTTGCAAGCCATCACTCCTAGCAATGCAGGATTATTTTGTATACTGCTTCTGCTAATATTTTTTTGTCCAGCGATGAGCTGATGCAGGAAGGCTTTTGAGACTCCCAAATCTGTTTGAGGCATAAGTACGTTCATGACTAAGGACCTGAATATAAAGATCACTTAAGTTACTTTGGGAAAAATTCTTTCCTTGTGGAAAGGATCCGTGCAAAGATTCTCTGCATCATATTGGTTTTAGGTGGTGCACTGTGCCTTAGGTTGGCACTCTGTACTTGAATGAATTCAGTGGGGCACATGAGAGGGGGAAGCCAAAATGTTAGAAGTGTGTTTTAAAGTGATGTAGCTCTATTATATAAAAATTCTGTGGGCCAGGAGAGCAATTTTATCTCAAAGGGAAATTAAGTATGAGCAATCTTTGTCTCTTGTGGTATGTATGGGAAGAAATAAATGTATTTCTGAGATCAGGCCTGTTAGTGGAACAATTCGTATTTGTGAGAACTGTACACTGTGTAATAAGATTCATGGTATTTGGCATGAAATGACTTAGTCTAATGTTTTAGACTCTCACTTTCCGTGAGCTCTCTGTCACTGTTGAAAGTTCTTTCTCATTTACTAAAATGATTTACAAATTAGATAGAGTTACAAGCAGACAGTCACTGATTCTGAACTATGTGTTTTTGTACTTTTTCTTAAGTATAGCATTCTATTTCTCCTGCTATTTTGAAGAAAGAAATTATAGTGTAAAAAGCACTATAGAAAGTAATCCTGCTACCTTTTTTCTGTGCAGGTATTATCTTCCAAGCAAGTTCTCCAAATGTGATATTGAAGAGTATCATGAATTTTTAAACAGTGGAGGTGGAGCCTGCCTTTTCAATAAACCAACCAAAGTAAGTATTACCTTATTATCGGGTATTATTTCTGTTCTATTTCTAATTTAAATGAAACCAAGAAGAAGGAAAATTATAATGTTGGAAAAAAACTCACCTGTAATTTTGATATTTCTGGTTCTCTCTAAGTTCTAAATTTTCTGGTGACATATGAGTGAAATTAGCTGATTTTCGTTCATAATAGTTTGAAAATTATATTTAAATAAATTTTTACTAAGTGCTTTAATGTCCAACAGAGTTCCCACAGGCTTTGATCTAGAACTATCCCTCTTGCAATTTGTTTTGAATATTGTAAATACAACCTGTTGCTGAATTTGCTTGCTGAGGTTTTAAGTGTTTTGGTAACCTTTTGCACCACTTGAGTCCTAATTTGTGTTGAACTGTTGTCCTTTTGTACAAAACTCTGCAACCTGAAGTAAGATTGCTTTTATTTCACATCTCTCCCAAGATGAAGACACGGCTCCTAGAGCCTCTGCAGGGAGTGCACTGCTGTGCAGCCCAGCAGCTTTGCAGGCACCAGTGTTTACAAGTGGTTGTGGTATTGTCCATGTTTGGAGAAGGCATAGTTTTTACAGTGGCGCTCAGAACAGTTTGAAAGCTGGGACTAGTTTTTCTAAAGCTGGAAGAGGCAGAGCAGGAGAGAAAGCTGCAAGGAGTAGGGGATAGACACTTGGAGAGCCCATGGCTGCTGGGCACCCATCCCACTCCTCATTCACCAGGCACTGCCCACACAGTCCTCGTCTCAGTCACCAGGGTCTGTGATCCCCTGAACCCAGTGTGCAGGGGGAGAAACGTGTCTGGAGAGAAGTGCTCAGATCATCTTAGCTCTAGGCCATCACGTGTGGCTCTGCACAGCTGTGCCTTGTGCTGGTTAGTCCCCCAGACAAGGAAGGCTGGTGAATCCCTGCTGGACCCTGGTCCTCAGTGCCACTGTACCTTGCCTCATTTGGTGGGGTACGTTACCTCCCTAAAGGCTTGGGGGCAGGAGAGCTACGAAAGCATTAGGACCCACTTAAATGACTGACCCGTCCCCTCCAAATTTGCCTCTAAAGTATGAAATCAGAGGTCTTGCTGCATGAGTCTTGGAAATCAGGAGAAGTGGGGAATATATCTTTAGATAGTATTTGCTTCTCTTATCTCCATTTTGGCCTGTTAAACAGGTGTATTCATGTGAAGGCTGCAAATAGTGTGAAATGATTAGCTGAGACATTAAGGGAGATAAATACAAAACAAGGCTAAAGAGCTAGGATGCAAGCACTTCTACAATGGAGGATTTGTGGTAGGGTTTCAGTATATTCCTCCTCCATTTACTGAAGCATGTGTTAAAATGTAAAGTAATCAGGATAATGAACTTGACTCTATGTATAATTAACCTTGTCCTCTATTTAATATCTGTCTTTCAACAAGCAAAGGAAAGAGGCTAAGGCAGAAAGACAGTCTAACACAGAAAAAAGGCTTGATAGCTGAGGTGGTCACAGATGTAAAAGAGAAAGTCAGTTGTGGAGTGATGTATGTTCCTCCTGGAATTGCTGAGAAAATGTGCGTGTTCCGACAACCACAGAATTTCAGTAAATGTTCAAGAGGGGAAGAGAAGGCATTAAATCTGAGTCTGCTTATCTCTCAAAGGTCTCCTTTTCGTGGAAGAATGTATTATTAAAAGTGGAGAGAAAGCACTGTAATTCATTAATAAGATGTAAGATTTATCATTCTTTGAAATGCACCTGCATTTTAAAAGTTTGCTTTTCCTCATCTCATTAAAGGTCAAGAGAAATATTGGTGGTTTTATTTCTTTGCCGAGCGAATTGTTTCCATAGTGTAATGTGTTTTATTTGGGATTGGTTTGGCAATTATGTTCATTTACACATCTGTCACTTGAAAAAAAAATTAAATTGGAAAGGGAAAAAAAAAATTGACAGCATTTACAGTTTTTTCTAATGGCATGTGGAAATGTGAAAGTTAGATGTGGAAACCAGGATGATTTAGACCCTTTCATGTATTGTTGTTTGGGTTAGTTTAAAGTTACTGTCAATGGATGTCTGTCTAATTCACAAGGCTGTCAAAGATGGTGAAACACAAACTTACTTTTGCTTTTGAAGAAATTTGAGATAAAGGAAAACTGATGTGACAAGGTGCAGTGTTTAACAGTGCTCCACTGTAAGATCAGCTGTGACCCCAAAAATTATGTCAATGACTGCCAGAGCAGATTGAGAGTATGCTCTTTTCAAATGAATGGATGAATTCCATTACTTTTGGGGAAAAGTTACACAACTTGTTTTTCATGTTTTTTTTTCCTTCCATTTCATATTTAGCTATCCCTATGTACTGCAGCAAATTGGCCCAGTGTTTTAAGGCAGGACCCTCTGTTACCACTATCTAGTTGTCTGTATCGTGCAGCACACCTAGAGATACCGAAGAAGTATGAATGTCTGGAAAAATATATAGGGAACAAGCCATTTTAACAACTCTTTAATAATTCTAAAAGATAATTGCTTGCTTACATTTAATGTAACATTCTATATATGCATTTCATACTGCAGTAAAATTTCCATTTCAATAGGGATATCTAATAATAGCATGCAGCCTGTACCACAAGCCTCAGGCTGGTTTGTGGCACAGTGGTATATGTGGGGTGATGCTCCCTCCTGTGGGCTACTTAGCAGCAAGGCAGCTGCCAGAGAATAGTGCACTGTACACCGTGAGTGATGTACTTGTGCAGATACCTTGTGAGCAGAATGGTTTCTGGAGCGATCCTGGTTTAATTGGAGAACTCAGAGGACAATCTGCAAAATTTTAGTCTTGGTGACACACTTATATGCCTTATTTATGTAATATAAGTACTCTTATGTTTTGTCATGCCAAAAAAAAAAAAAAACAAACAAAACCAAACCATTTCGTTTTCTTTTTGGGGAATTTCCTCTAGAAATTTTAGGAAAATGGAAGCAATGAAACTGGAAAGAACAGAGTGTAGATGTCCATTAAAAGATAACATAGCATGGGTCCTATGTGAAAAATGGTGAATGAATCTTGCCTCTGGGAAAGTAAACTACTAGTAGAAATGTACAGATTTAGACATTTTAAGGTACAGTTTAGTGAGGAGGCTGAAGGGAAGGGGAGGAAGCCTCATCAGCTGTAGTTTCTTGTCTGCCTGTGACACATGCTTATGGAAAACTACTCAAAGTTCCCAACTGTGGTAGAGAAAAAAGGAAGGAAAAAGCATGAAATTGCAACAAAAACTGACAAAGAAACCCAGCCTCTCCGCTCTCCCTGCATTTCTAAGCCACGTGCTCCCAGAGGACAATTTTTTAATGGCTATTCCTTCTGAAGGTATTATGCAGGCATCAACCGAGGATGCAGCCCTCATCACTTGAATTCCAGAACAATGGCAATTGCAACCCCTGTGATGATAATGAAAATGTCATATTGTTTTAATTTCTTTTTTATTTTCACACCTTTTGTTTTTTCATTGTGGCTTCTGCTCAAACTGAATCTACTGTAAAAATCACAGTCTCTCACAGAAGATGCCATGTGACTTTGCAGTATTGTGGAATTAATTCACAGCATTATTCATTCTCTCACATTTCGTTTGTGTTGTTTCTAGTCAACTTCTTCCTGAGTTGTGGGTACTGTGTTTTGATTAATGCATTTGGAGTGCTAGCTAAAAAGACATGTTATACACAATAAATCATAGAATCATAGAATCATAGAATGACCCGGGTTGGAAGGGACCTCAAGGATCATGTAGTTCCAACCCCCCTGCCTGGCAGGGCCACCAAACATACACATTTACTAGATCATATAAATATGACAATGATTACCTTAGGAGAGATATGCCCTTTGATTTCTGATTTTGCCGTGCAGCTTCTGGATCCTCCAGAATGTGGCAATGGCTTTGTGGAAGATGGAGAAGAGTGTGACTGTGGGACGATAGCGGTAAGTGCAGTGTACTTTAAATTAGCAACTAGGTTCTGCAGGACATGGTGCTGCCTGCTACTGCTGTTGACATTAAGTGGAGGAAGACAGGCAATGTTAAAGTCCTGCAGCAAGGGATTCATAATTTCTTACCTTTTTACATCCAGTTTAACACAATGTGGGCCAGCATTTTTGTTTTATCATCATATAAATTCTGAAGAGTAATAGTAATAATTCTGCTACCTGTGCAGAATCAGACCTTAAAAGATGTTAAAGAAAGTATTTTCCTAGATGGGAACATGACTCTGGTCAGTGCTAAAATGTCAGTATTTAGTGATTGACATTGAAGTTAGGAAAATTATTTCCTGTGTTGCATAGCAAACAGCTGTGCAGGAAAGCTCATATACCTGACAGTGCATGCTTTTTTTTATACCTCCAGGTGCCTAAAAGCCTGGTTAAAAGTCTGTCCAGGTAACATGCTAAGATGAGAAGTAATAAGAGAGCTTGGGGCTCATCTGCTTTTCCCATGTATTCTGTTATAAGTGTGTGTGTTCCTCAGGAGTGTGCCAGCGAAGGAGGAGAGTGCTGCAATACTTGCACCCTGACGGCAGGCTCGCAGTGCAGCAATGGGCTTTGCTGTCGGAAGTGCCGGGTAAGGGCAGTGACCTTCACTGCAGCGTCCTGGTGGTAGTGCATCCAGGTGGCTACAGGCACCACAGCATGTCTTTTTCCTTCCAGACTTTGTGTTTCCTTTTCTGGAAGCTTTCCTTCTAAAATTGGCTGAGAACTTGTTCCTCTGGGGCTATTCCCTGTCTTTCAGTGTGGACTTCTTGGGGCAGGGGTTGTGATCAAATGCAGAGATGAATGAAAGCCTTCCAGTTTCAGACAACTTTGAATCAGGTTGAAGTTCCACAAAGTTTCATTAGACGTCCTTGTTTAAACACGCACATCCTTATCCATGTGCTGCTCCCAACACCTTACCTGTTGCTCTGAATTTACCCCACAAGACTGAATGGGAAAATCATACCACAGATCTAGTAAAAAAACAAAAAACAACAAACCCCAAAACTCACAGCTAGCAGAATTGTTCAGAAGTGTTCATCTAAAAGACACTTGACTTCAGTTAGTTCTGCCTGTGTCTCCTTTTGTTTGGACTGACTGAAATCCCACTGGGTAAAGGGAATCAAGCCCTGTGTAAACTATAAGGTATTCTTCCTGATACATCAGTAAATAGTAAAAGGAAGTTTAGACAGGTCTTGGCTGTAAGGGAGCCAAGCTAAGTATGACTTCAAACAGTTGTTTATACTAATTTAGTAATAATGATAATTATTATCAGTGTTATTAAAACTGTGGTGTACTATGTGTGATATTTTTATATTTGCCTGTGGGCATTTGAGGGTTTCATTTCCTTAGAAGGAACATTAGTAATAATTGTGGAGCACATTCTTGACTTTGTGCTCATCCTAATGTTAAAAAAAGAAAAAGCACAAATTATTCTGGAACAGGTCACATTTCCCTAAGCACGTTCCTTTTTATTTTATTTTATTTTATTTTATTATATTATAAAAGATTAGCGGATCGCCAGTGTGGGTGAATGTTGTTCAAGTGTCCAGGTCACATAGGCACCATACTAAAGATTCTCAGAAGAAAAAAATCAATGACCTGATCAAGATAATGCTGCAAGCCACTGCAGTATTGGTTTGATAAACACCAGGGGTCTTGTGTCCTGGGAGAGCACTTATCCTGCTCGGCCACACACTCAATGCATTCAGGAGGAGGTGCCTCAGAGCGTGGTGCCACTTCTATCAGTAAATGGCCGGTGGCTTGACAGGTGCAGCATCTGCAGGAGAGAAAGGAAAGTCTTCCCACTTCAGTCAGCACATCAAATTTCCCATTTTTTGTTTTAATTAAAACTCTGTGAAAGCATTGCATTTAAGGGAAGATATGGAGAAATTAAGACACTAATTTTATGTCCTTTTTTTTTCAGTTTGAACCTAAAGGAGTTTTGTGCCGAGAAGCAGTGAATGATTGTGATATTGCAGAGAACTGCACAGGAAATTCCAGTCAGGTGATTTTTGTATCTTCTATCCAAGAGATGAAAAAAGCCACCTGTAGTCTCTCAATCGCTTTGAATGTTAGTTACCCTTTTGTATAGTAAGGTGTATAAAAATTGTATTAAACCTGCTGATACTGAAAAAACCAGCATGATACCGAAATAATTTTCCACATGACATTTGTTGTGTGCTTTGCTTCCATGCTTGTCTGATCTATGATCTATTACTTATTTTCTCTTTCCATAGTGTTCGCCCAATATTCATAAAATGGATGGATATTCATGTGATAACAAGCAGGTAATTTGCATGTCAATTTGTTTTACATTCTTTCCACTTTCATAGATTTCTTTTGATAGATTTTGGCTTAAGGTCTTTGGAAGTCACCTGGGACAGTTGTGCTGACATTCCTAAGTTTTGGGTGCTAGTTGTGTTTGGAGCTAAGCATTTAAATTAACAGAAAGTAGAATCACATATTACTTGCCTCAATAGAAAGCATGTGACAAATATGTATATGAAACAAATATGTATTTTGTTAAATTGAGTTATTTGAAACTTTTCCCGTATCTTTTCTTTCTTTCTAGGGTATTTGTTTTGGAGGAAGATGTAAAACCAGGGACCGTCAGTGTAAATATATCTGGGGTGAAAGTGAGTCAATGTTATTGTGTCTAAATAGGTTGTCACTCATGTGGCTGAGAAGATTATCTCAGCTGAGAAAAATTATGGAAGAGACATATTCAGAACCATTAAAACCAGCTAGGACTCTATGTCCTTCCCCCTTTTCCCTCCTTTGTCTTTCCATCCATTCCATGATGTCTTTCCAGCTTTTTCTCTGGTGTTGGTTAACTTATTGCTGATTATTCTGAAGTCTTAGATTTAGCTTCTCATTAAGAACCACCTAGGGACCCTATACTCGTATTTATTGATTTATTTCAATGGCTTCTGGACATTTTGGACGAATAAACACTGGTCAATCTGAACAAAATCTTAAAACAGTCCTGTGGTGCCAACATAAAACTTTTTGTTGAGAACACTGTTCAGTGTTTCACAGGCCACCTGCAGACTATTGGTACTGCAGTTTACAGACTGGGAAGCTCTGCTTACTTTTATTGTACATCACCATTTCCCAGGACCTGGCTTTTTGAAGTCTTCATCATCTTAGAAGAGATTTGTTTTTTTCAGAAGTGACAGCTGCTGACAGGTACTGCTATGAGAAGCTGAATATTGAAGGGACTGAGAAAGGAAACTGTGGAAGAGACAAGGACTCTTGGATACAGTGCAATAAACAGTAAGTTGATTCATTTAGAAAACAACTGTTATGAGATTTTTATCCCTGGTCCGGTTCTTTAGCTGGCATGAAGAGGCTCAAAAAGCCTCTGTACAGATCAGACTTCCGACCACCTTCTGCAGACCTTCGTGCAGGAAATTCTGGAGGGAGAGGAGTGTTGAGAGGAGATGATCTCTGTTGAGGGAGCACCATCTGAGCTTTGGGAGCACTTGGACCAAAAGTGGTCCTAGTACTGTTGGTGAGGCTTACCAGTGCAGAGGAGAGCAGCCTGTGGCAAGGCACACAATTTTTAAAGTCCCTTCAACAGTTGAATAAAACTTGATGTCTCTATTTCCCTTACATATATGTCATGTGAGAGTTTGTTTAAAGCCACTACTGCTTCTCCTCTGTGGGCCAGTTACTGTATCTTAATAGGATAGTAAATCAATTTGATGTGGTTTGTTCTTGACAGCTCCCTGATTGCTATTATTCGGAGCATTTTTGATAATACATCTTAAAAAAATACTCTTTTCCCAGTCTAAGCTCTGGGGAGAGAAATTTTCTTGGGAAACAAGACATTATTTATGGGAATTACTGTCAGTGAGAGAAAAGCAAGGAATAATGAACAGGTTACAAAGCAACTGAAGAAAACCACATTTTTTGATTGTCCATTTTAATCCAATTTTCTTTTCAGTAAGTACCTGTTTATTTTCTCAATGCAGGGATGTGCTTTGTGGGTACCTTCTGTGCTCCAATATATCCAGTGTGCCCAGACTTGGAGAACTAGATGGTGAAATCACATCGTCAATCTTGCAGTATGGAAAAGTCTACAATTGCAGGTAATTGGAAATCCTGAACACAGAACAGAGTCTCCATCTTGCATGGAAAAGCAGCTTTCTCATTCCTAGGTGGAAAATAACTGTTTCCATTATTTTTTTTTTTCCTGTTAACACATAATCATTATTCTAGCTCAACCTTTGTGAAGATTCAGGAGCTTGACTGCATGTTTTGGGGTCCCAGACATAAAACTCTTCTCTGGCCTCTTGATTTTACATTCTTTAATGTTTGTGAAGTACTTAATGTACTCAAAATACTTGGACATATGCCTGCACTGCCAAAGCTACCTGGCAGCTTAATACGTTGCAATATGTTAGCTGAATCCCAGTTATAGACCTAGTGTGTTCTCATAGCTTCACACAACTGTAAACTGAAACAAAGTCCTGCAAAAGTAAAGTCAATGTTTTACACAACACTGGCTCTTACACAGGAAAAATGGTCTTTGTTTTCACCATTACATTTGTTTGATGTAGATATACTGCATTTGGATTTGTTTCACGTTAGTGCCATTAAGATAAATAAGCCAATACTTATTCTTTCCTGATCATGGGCATTGTATAATGCAGACAGAAATTAAGGCAGCAATCCAGAGCCCAGTTTCTCAATCTGTCACATCTAATCACGGCACAAGTCTCTGGGGTCCTGTTGGTTGTCTTGCAGTGGCGGCCATGTGAAGCTCGATGAGGAGACGGACCTGGGCTATGTGGAGAACGGGACGCCGTGTGGGCCGGACATGGTGTGCCTTGAGCATCGCTGCCTCCCCGCTGAGGCCTTCAACTTCAGCACCTGCCCAGGCACCGCAGGCAGCCAGATTTGTTCAGGACACGGTGTATGTTCTTGTACTCTTTAATCCTTTTTTCTGTTTTTGCTGAGTATCTGGTGTTGTGTAGTGTACTAGCTAGACCTTTCAGGAAGCCAGCAGCATGACTCTAGAAGTCTTTATACTGGAGAAGCTTTTGAAAAGGAAAGGGGGTGGAGGCACACAAGTAAACAAAACATACAAGTCAAGGCATCTTAAACAATGAATCACAGTAAGGGTGTATTAGTTTTGCAAAAATTTTATTGATCAATTGCTTTGCTATTACTTCTGCTAACTCGATATTTCCTCAGGCAACATACTGGAGAGTATAAAGGTTTAAGAACTGAGAAATTTGGGTTTCTGTTCTTACAAATGCTCTCTTTAATTCCCTCTGTATTATGTCAACAGCCAAGAAGGTTCATCAAGTTGTTGGATTTTGTTGTCTGAGAGTTACTTTGCTCTAGACAAGAGGGCAGTGGCATCTTCTCTGCTTGGTGCACAGCCTATGGCTTTGCTGTGGCCCTGGCAAGTCCCTTTTTCCCTCACACAGTTTGAAACAGTGTCCAGGTCCCTACAGCTGAGCAGAGAACAAAGGAGTTGTTCTTTTATAATGTGTTTTGTCTCTTACACTGCCTTAAATTTTGAAAAAATAATGTTATTGAGGTTCAGAGTCTCCCAAGGCAATTATAAATGGCTCTATTAAATATATACTTAAAGCACAAGTTATTAAATTTATTAAATAGTAAA